TGCCTTTTGTACATAGTCCCTTCATTACGCTCTCCTCAGTTAAAGCTTTGAGCATGCCACCTGTTTATTGCCAGGATCCTAATTAAAATGAGGGTGGATCCCTCAAAAAGTCACAAGGACTAAGCCACAAAGGCTCACATGCAGATCTTCACAGGGCATCCTGCTCATACAGATAGGTGTGGGCATAGAACATAGGGGAGGTCTTTCGTGTCATCGCCCCCGTCCCAGGTAACCAGTTTGTTCCACTTCTCCATGCATAGGTTGAGTTCCTTGACATATGGGGTATGAGGTACAGACCATTCCATCTGTGATTCAGCTGGCTGCACAAGGAGCCAGCCTCATTTCTGAAGTCCTCTGTGGGGTGAGAAATCATATTTAGAAGCCAGACCCTTAGGTCAGGTAGTTGGTTAGACAGGAACTGCTTTGTTCTGGTTGTGTTGCGAGGCATTCAGCAAATAAACAGCCACAAAATTTCACTTAATTAGGTTGACATTTAATTACAAGGAACCCAGGTTCTTACACAAAGCAGGAGATGGGAGCCAGCAGCTTCTCAAGATCCTTTCCAGCCTGAGTGACTGAGGCTAAGGAGGTGGGGACACATGGAACATTGGGTGGGGTGGGGGTCCTGGCACAGTGTGTCCTGCCCAAAGCTGAGGGTGGTAGCCGTGGGGGATCTGCCCTCTTGGCTGGCCCAGGTCTGCAATCAGTCCATGGGGCAGAATTCTGACTCCTGCTGTCGCATGCTGGGTAACACATACAGAGCCACAGCTGCAATAGCCAAGAATACCATAGGCTTCCACAACCCATACATGTTCTGTGGGGACCAAAGAAAAACTGTGAGTGCCTAGCCTTCTGAACCTTACCCTAAGCCAGAAATCACCTCCCTATGGTGCCCAAGAGACAGCTCAGGAACATGGTGGATCAGCCCCTCTTCCCTCCTGGGTAAACTGGTGGAGATCTTAGGCTCTTAGTCCTACACCTGCACCACTAGACACGCAGCCCAACACTATATGCACCAGCTAGGTGACTGGCATTCCTGCGCCCACTGCGGCCTGTGAGATGAGGAGAATACTAGCTGCTGTAGAAGCGAACTCAGGGGTCTAGACTTCAAAGATTCTCCAAATGGTTGCAATGAGAAAGGACTGGATGCCATAGCAGGAAAGATGGTGAAGTTTGGGCAGGACTGAATTAGCTTTATGGAGAAGTTTGGGCAGCAGCACTGAATTAGCTTTATGGAGAAGAAATGAACTCAAGAGTCAAGAGGATGGGAGGGGGAGATAAGCCTTGGGGTGTGTGTGAAGAGCAGGCACTGTGGAGCGCAGGAAAATAGGAAGTTCTCAGGCAGCCAAACATTTTGCATAGAAGGATATTGATTCAAGGAAATTCCAAGAAAGCTGTTACTGGCCCTCGGTCACTAAAACACCCCAATCACTAGGTGTGCTCACTTCCTGGCACACTGAGGCTCCTAGGTACTTCTGACCACTAGTGACCCCTGCAGATGTATAGGACAACAACAACACCATGAGGGATATCCAGAAAGTATCCTTTAGGGAAAATGAAAATCTTAGACAAGAAAATACACACCTGGGGTGATAGTTCATATTTTTTATTACTTTTTAAAACTGTATCTGTTACTTGAAAGGCAAAATTTGGATTTTGAATCATAAGCTATGGCATAAGGTAACAGAAGGATGGTTTTAGATAAAACTGGAGTGTAGTCCATTAATGCTAAGAACACGTTTGCTCAGAAAATAATCTAAAAAGAAGATTTTAAGCCAACTATAAAGAACAAAGAAAATATCCTGAATTTGTGTAAATAAAGTTTCCAAGAAGAACAGAAGATATAAAATGGAAAGAAAAACAATGTTAGTGGTAGATATATAGAATAATCCATGTAAAAAAACTGAGAAGCTAGAAATATTCACACACTCAGATGTTTATATCCTAATGTGCACTGTTAAAATGTCAAGTCTGATGCTCTTAAAAGAGGAAAGAGCTAGAATCCATAAATGGGAACCAGTGCACTTGTCACGGGGCAGAGGCAAGCTTCTAGACTGGAAGAGGAAATGGGTGGTGTAGGTGTCCCAAAGAAGTAAGCATGTCAGGCTTTCCTTTTAGAACAGGTTACCAAAGTGACAAATCAAGGAAGTCACATTTTTGGACTTGAGTTGTTTCACATGATTTTCTCTGATATCCTTATAGATCACATGTGGAAATAAGAGTAGGATGATGGTACAGTTTGTTGTATGACTGCTTATTAAGACCAACGAGCTGAACAAAAGAGAACCTGCCGAGATGACACTCTAGAGGCTTGGTCCTCACTCATAACTTGGATGAAGATATGAAGATAGGCTTGTCACTTTTTTATTTTTTGATACAGAGTCTCACTTTGTCACCCTTGGTTGAATACCATGGCATCATAGCTCACAGCAATCTCAAACTCTTGGGCTCAAGCAATCCACCTGCCTTGGCCTCCCAAGTAGGGGGACTACAGGTGCCCACCACAATGCCTGGCTATTTTATAGAGATAGGGTCTTGCTCTCGCTCAGGCTGGTCTTGAACTTGTGAGCTCAAGCAATCCACCTGCCTTGGCCTCCCAGACTGCTGGTATTACAGGTGTGGACAACCGCGCCCGGCCAGCTTGATGTGAAGCTGGCAGGAAAAACGAACATTTTAAAACCACAGGGTCAAGCTAAAACACATGCACGCACACACACATGTGCTCAAAAACAAACACACACACTCACATGCAAAACTTCACAGGTAAGAACAATGGACTATAATAGGGGAGAATGGAAAATTCTGCATTTGGACCCATGAAATCAAATGTAAGTACAGAATGGGGAGTGGATGCTTAGTATATGTAATATACAAAAGGGTTTTATAAACAATACATGAAATAAGTTAACAATGTATGGATGGTGCCAAAAATACATATACACATTTTAAGAAAGGAAAAAACTGTATTAAATTTGTAATAGTCGTGTTTGACTTCTGCTATTATAAGAAGGTGCGCTGTTACCAGTACATATTGAGTATTTTAATTCTAATACATTTTTTTCTTTCTGAAAGTATGTATACATTTTTTGCACCCTCTATTAGTTACCAAAAGAGCTAATGTGATTTGACGTTGCATAAAGAGAGGTATGGTGTCTTCCTAATTACTTGAGACACAAACCATGGAAAATTGCTCAAAATCAGAAGAGATGACAAGGAGGAACAGGATTGGAATTTCTTATAAGTTCTTTATAATCTGATTCATAGTTTCCTGGCTTTATTACTTAACCTCTCTATGCCTTAGATTAATCATATATAAAATGATAATTGCTCACAGGGTTGTTGCAGGGGTTAAATTAATTAATATACATAAAATGAGCAGAACAGTGCCTGGCACATAGAAGGCATTATGTAAGTGTGTGCTCTATTATTTACATGGTATTTTATAATTTATAAAGTACTTTCAAATACATTAGCTCATTTGATCCTCACAAAAACTGTGAGGAGGGCAGAGGTTTTGTCATCTTGTTAATATCTAAAGAAACTAAAGTTCAGATTATGCATTTTGCTCACTAGGACAAATCTGGTAAATAAAGACAGACTCAATCAAATTGAACTGACTGCATGTCAGCCACACTTTCCATTATACTATACTGCCATGGCTCCTGGGAGGAGACAGTGTATCAGTGCCCAAGGGCTCTGGAACAACAGGCATCCCCCATGGTCCCTTCACCAGACGTTCTTCACTCTCACTTTGTTCAGGCTTGGCAGAATGCTCTAGGTTGCACCCACAGTGACTTGAGATGGCTGGGTATGGATGGGAGGAACAGGAATAGTGACAGGCCCTGGTCACTAGAGCGGTTAAAAGACTGTCTGTGTGGAGTGCCTGGGATGCCTAAGAGGAGGAAGAAAGGAGAAGGGTTGAAGAGGAGGGGAAAAAGTGGTGGTGGTAGGATAGAAAAGGAAATCCCATGCACAGGTTCAGGCTGTCCTTCTGAACCTGCGCATGAAACCAACTACACTTCATTTACAGAGATGTGAGAAGAGAGGGCGGGGCAGAGGGCCAGGAGAGCAAGAGAAAGGAGCCAGAACAGGACAGAAAAAATAGCTTATGGGTTCCAGAAGGCAGGTGGGACCTTAGGGTTCTGCTTTAGGCATGAGACCACATTCTGCCTCCTGACTTTGGTATCCTGTCCACAGGCCAGATTACATGGATGGAGGCCAATTGGAAAGTGTCTGTAATATATCAGTCCTGATTTCCTAACAACACATACATCTCTGGCTAGTAGAAACTTTTCACCAATCCTTCCGCCCAGAAAACCTAGCTTGGAAAGCCAATTACAATAGAATCTGGCCCCAGAAGAGATAAACAGAGAACTAATAAAATATTTCCTGGCATTTTGTTACAACTTTTCTGGAAACCAGAAGTCCTAAACTAGAGAACTTTTCAGTAGAAAGTGCATTATATGGTGGGAGTTCAATTTTAATCAAAGTTGAAGGAGCAGTTGAGGATGTACTCATACAAATGTCCTTGGGAAGATTATAAGGATCATAACTCTTAAGATCTCCTCTCTCACCCAAGAGGAGAGCAAGTGATACCTTACTTTGCTATCCTGGGCAGCAACAATAGTGAGAGTTTGGCAATGGACTTAAAGACAAAGAGAGCCCAGACCAGCTTTGCAGACAAACATTGGCTCAATAGAGGGAGACAGGCAGCTTTGATGGTAGCAACAGTGCTGGGCTTACGCAAGTTATTACCAGCCAAGGATAGAAACTCAAACTATGTTTGCATTTCAACTCCATAGGCATTATAAAGACATGCTCAGAGATGTTAGAGGCTTTGCAGTAGCCCAAGGAAAAGCCAGGACTCTTGGGCCTTAGCATCATCTGTTGTAAAATGACAAAAGCAAGACACAAGCAGCTGAGAGAAAAGAGGAGAGGCCAGGGCACCTGCACCCTCCCTCTGTCCCTCAGGAGGAGAGGAAGCAATACCAGTACCTGTGTTAAGACGATGTCTCGGCCCACCAGCACCAGAGCAAAGCCGATATGACCACCAGGCCTACAAGAGGCAAGGAGAAGATGGGGGGGTCGGGGGTAGGGGATGGCTACAACACATCAAATGAGAAAAAAGCATGAAGAAGACCAGGAGATGAGAGACATAAACACATGAATCCAACAGATAATGAAGATGAGAAAACAAAGGGAAAAGAGAGAGGAATCAAGAGGTTAAAAAACAGTTTGGTCAGAGCAGTAGCATTTCTTTTCTGCTGCCTAGGCCTTGGTTCTTTCCACTGGCAGCCTGCAGAAACTGCAAAACTGAATGGGTTAAGCAGCAGCAAGGTCCACATCAGGCGGCAAGTCCAGTTTTCTGTCTTGTCATATACCTCTCAAATCTTGTCAAGCAGAAGTTATCTGTATCTCGACCTTTCTTGGGGATCAGTACTCTGGAAAAGTGAAGCTCCAGAGAGCAAATGTCATTCTTAAAGAAGTTGGGTGAATACTTGTCTTGGATCACTCGAGGAAGAGCCAGTCTTCTGCCAGGCCACCTGTCCCTTTGTTAACTCCCTTATTCTGTTCTTCTGTCCATCAAGTGTCTTAATGGGCTCTGGTCCCTAGGATCCCTAGGAATCTAAAGCTACAGTTGTGAGACAGAATGCACTAAAACAAGCTAACCATGGAGAGGGGCTAGTTCTTTGATGTAATACTCTTCCAGAGAGAAACTGAATTTGCCTGTAGAGTTGCCTACAAAAGATGCAGGACGCCTGGTGGCATGGGATATTGCTGCATGTAGACACAAAGAATGTACTTGACTTTAAAGTAGAAAAATCAGATCTGGCTATGGAAATGTGGTGCCCCAGGTAAAGAAACCTAGAAGGTCCTGCACGAGCATGTGGTAGAATATGATGAGTTTAGGAACATAAAACACTGGGGAAGGGGCTGTAGTCGCTCCTACTTTTTACATCCTAAGAAATGGTTCCCTGGCACAGGTTAGCAGAGAACTGCCCCCTGGATACTAAACCAGGGCTGCAGATTGAACTGCTGGAAATTCCAGATACCCTTACAGTTGACTAGGTAATCCCACCACAAGAGGCTTATTTTCAGGACAGAAAGAACCCATACTGTAAACCGGATTTAGGAAATACTCCAACTCTTCAGGGAATCAGAGCCCCCAGAAAAAGCCCATGGCAAGAATTCAGTTGGTACATATCCGTACAGATGTACCAGTTGTTAAATATGGAACTACTTCTATGCAGTTAGTAAACTACTCCTGCCATCCTGGCATATTCCCAGGATACTTCCACCTCAGCCTCTCAGAGATTTAGCAACTAAAGGATTAGGGGCCAGGGCTGGTCTCCTTGGACTAGCCAATGCCTGTGCTGCACAGACTGTAAAGTACTTTACTTATCACTCCTTGTCACCCCCAGCCCCTACCCTCATGTCCTGTGACATACAGAACCCAGTGGGTGACACAGGCCTATATAGAAGAGATTATCCCCCTCCCCACAATTCTGACAGCAACAACAAAGGCTAATCCTAACAGGACACCATAGGAAAACTGAACTGAGTGACTTGCCCAAGAAACACTCCAAAGAAGTTCTCACCATCGGTGTCCTTCATGCAGTACCAAGGAGAGGAGTTAGGAAACCCTTTTGACACAGGGAAGGTAACAGGGGCTACTCTGTAATGGAAACAGATAGGAATCCAAAGAGCCCATCTTGGCTCACAGAATAGGTGGTCTTTGTGAGATAGTTCCACAGTGAATCAGCCCCAGCCTGCCATTTCCCACAAAGACTGCTCTCTCCAACCCCTTCTCCATGGCCACCTCCTACACCATGCCTCAGAGCCAGCTAGTCTCTATTCCTGCAAGTCCATCCTTGGGAGGGCCACCCTGAACACTTGGCTTGCCTGAGCCCAAGCCTGTTTCCCACTTGATCTAACCTTTGGCTATGGTTACCTTTTTGCTCTCAGAAAGTTTGAGGGGGTTTTCTTCAGGAGTGTCAGGGGAAGAGTCATCATCCTTGTCCTCTTCTTTGTTGTCTTCTTCTGAATCTTCCTGGTCTTTGACCTCTGCATATTCTTCCGGATTTTCTACGGACTTACTTTTCCCAAGATTTGTTGGCTCAGTAGCTAGTTCATCCCTGGATGCATTTGTTTTCTCTTTTGTTTCCTCCTTTTCCTCCTCTTTTGTTAGCTCGTCTAGCTCCTTCTGGCTGGCCTTATAGTACAGCACCACTTCCAGGCTCTGTGGGGCAGGGGTAGGGCAGGATGGGGCTATGGTTACCTGTGAAGATGCCTATTCTCACTACAAGGCTCTGTATCCACAGAAAACTCTACTCTCAGCATGTTGCAGTGCACGGGTGCAGCACTGTGTTCTGGGACTGTGAGCCGCTCTCCCTGACAGGCACGTGGGGACTGTCACACCTCCCCTCTTAGGACCAGGACTCTGCTTGGCTAGAAAGCCCTATCAGACAGCTCCCAGAGCTAAGGCTTTTGGGCCCTGCATCTTAACTGCCCCTTCCCTTATTTGTAGAAATTCTCTTTACCCAATTCTCTGTCCCATATTAGTGCACACCTACTTTGAACAAATTCCTCTCTATCTATTTGGTCCCTCTCTTGGGCATGTAACCCAGGCAGATTGAAGCAGTCATTCAGCCTAGGGGCATGGTCCTCTGGGGCTGCACCTCCAGCCGTGAGCTGTCTGTATTCCATGCTTCTCATAGCTTCACAGGCAAAGGGAGCACCAACTTCCCACCAAGATGGAACCACTGTAGACACTTTCGAGATCCCAGAAGCTTTTCTACAAATACCTCACCTGGTTGGAGTGGTGGTGGAGACAGTGTTTCTTCCTGGAATCTCCTCCACCTTTCTGTGTATCAGGCTAGGGCTGGGTACTACTCACCTTTCCAGCCTCAAAGCTGCCCTTAGAACTGTCCAAGCTCGACTTGGTCACCTTTTTAGTTTTAACTCCATTGGCATTCTTGTTCATGTTCTTATTAACATTCTTCCCCTGGGCTTCTTTGGAAGCAGAGGGCCTCTTCTCTTTCAGCTGGCGGAGCTCTTCCTGGCAGCACTGCAGCTGCCCCTCCAACTGCTCCTGCACTGCCAGAAGCCGCCCCTGTTCATCCATGCTAGCCTGGTACTGCAGCTGCAGCTCCCGCAGCTTGCTCTGCAATTCTCTGATCTGTGGGTATTGGGGGGCCGGTTACCGGAGCTGAGCCCACGCCACAAGGTGGGGCCCTGCCTCAGAAATCTTGCTAGGACCCATGGAAGCAGACAATAAAGAAATCATTAAACTGTGGAAACTGAACCTCTTACACAGTTTCACAGAGAATTCCTTAACCTGATGATGTACATCTAACAGGATCAAAAATGATCATTTGTTATGTTTTTTACTGTGATCTATCTGGGAAACAACTTCAGGGCTGCCACTACTTCTGAACCTCAGAGATTTATCATATGAGTCTTCTTATGGGAAGTCCTACTTTATCCAACCCATTTCTCCAATGGAGACAACTGCTTAAGGAACTGTGCTGCACACTCTAGAGAGTATACTGGCTCCTGTACCTCGCCCTGGAAACAAACCACATTATAACTTTGCTCAAAATCTCTGGTTTTGTCTTCTGGGCTGATGGCAGCACATCACAATACCCCAAGTATCATAGTAGGTACCAATACTAGTCCACCTAGGCCCAAGTATTTGCTGCTCTCTCTCCCGTGGGCACACACAGCCAGCCCCACTGGACTGTGAACTACTCCTGGCCAGAGACAATGGTTTCTGTCCTGCTCCTAGTAGTTGCAGAGCACTCTTCTTGGCATTATGAGAAATCCAAGAAAAAGAAGACATGGCTCTGTCCTTGAGGTGCTTACAAATCTAGTTGAGGAGACAAGACAAATACACACAAATTAACAAAAGAAAACTGTCCAGTGGGGAAAAAAAAACGCAGCTCTGCAGGAGTCCTTTGGATATAAAACAAAAGAGAGAACTTATTCAAAGAGAGGAAGGAGTCCCAGAACCTTGGGTACTTGGGAAATGCACTTCAGACTAAGCAATTTCCATTAGTGATGGAGCAGACTGCCCAGCCTCCTGGAAGATGCAGTCTCCTCCCTCTGTCCCTCTCTCTTTAGCCTCTCTGAAATGGCCATGCACTCCTCTGGCTCTAGGGACTTCCAGAGGAAAGTGTGCATCCCTGACAGCAGTTACCTCATTCTTGTCGCTCTGGAGGGGCTTTTCAAGGCATTCCATGCACTCCTTGAATTCCTTCTCGCAGGCATCCATCTCTTCCTTCAGCTCTTTCTGCTTATCCAGTAACTTCTTCATCTGCTCTTGCAGCTGGCCTTGCTCCTCCTGGCTTACCTGATACATGGCCTGCATTGCCTGTAGCTTCGTCAATACCTTGGCAACCATTTCCTCAAAGTGCTGTGGGGGTGGGGGAGCAATGATGGCACCCTGAGAAGCACCTGACTTCTGCCCCATTCCCTTGGCTGGACCCTTCCCTGGATACCAAACAGTGGCTACAAGGATCTAGAGCTGCCTAGGGGGAATATTTCTCGCCATGACTGTGCTAATGAAAAGCCCCAGATCTTAGACCTATGTCCAGATAGGGGCATGGATGAGGATGAAGGGCAGACAGGGCTGCCACAGAGAGAGGGCCTTGCTTACTTCCAGGGGCTCCCAGGTCAGCTCTGACCCCATTCCCACTTCACTTCCTGTACTCTTCCCCTGGTGATGTATCTCTTAAAAAGACAAGAGCCCATCTTTCTCTCCCTGACCTGTCCTCTGCCAACTGTTACCTCTACGTCTTCCAGCTCAGCAGGCTCATCATCAATGCTGCTACTGACATAACTCTTGTGACAGGTGTCAGAGCTACTAGTGCTGCCATAACTCTTCTTATAGGTAATGCTGGTACAGCTGCTGCGGTAACTCTTTTCACAAGCCTCGCTGGCACTGGCGCTGCTGTCATAGCTCTTGAGAAAGCTCTCATTGCTGGCCTGGGTGCTGGTGTAACTCCTGTGATAGCACTCGTTGTCATCAGTACCACCGTAATTCTGACCGTTGTTGGTGCTCTGGGAACTGCTAACATAGCTCTTCCTGTAGGACTCAAGGCTCGATTTTACAGATGGGGAATGGACTTGGAGTAGTTGCATTTCTTCTATGCAGAGCTGCAAGTCTGCCAGCAGCCTCTTCCGCTCCTCTAGGAGTTTCCCCTGCTCCTGCTGCAACAGCTCTTGCTCTGCCTGACTTGTGTCATACAGCACCTGCAGAGCCTGCATCTGCTCCATGAGTGACTTGGACTGTTGAGGGTAGGGTGGGGAGATGTAATCATTATTCTGAGACATTTCAGTCCTAACTGTACCTCTCCTGGTGTGGATGTCTGAAAGCACACTTTAGGGAACCATACACCTACATATCAGCCTCACCACAGTCTATGTCTCTGACTTAGCCTATAGGTGTGTCAGTTTCTTGCTCATTTAGGAATATCACCCCAGGGTATATGATTTCCATGCTCCCATTTCTGCTGGTTTGTGTACTCTGGTACATCCTTCTCCTTAGAGCAGTGCTAAGCGGGTTTTAAGAACATCCTAGCTCCATATCTACCCTCTTCTCATTAGGTATGCCCATTATCCTGACCTTTAGGCTCAATCCCCTTCCCCTACTCCCAGTTCTTTTTTTTTTTTTAAGAGACAGAGTCTCACTTTGTCACCCTTGGTAGAGTGCTGTGGTGTCACAGCTCACAGCAACCTCCAGCTTTTGGACTTAGGTGATTCTCTTGCCTCAGCCTCCTGAGTAGTTGGGACTACAGGAGCCCGCCACAAAGCCCAACTATCTTTTTATTGCAGTTTGACTGGGGCCAGGTTCAAACCCACCACCTTCGTTGTTATGGGGCTGGCGCCCTACTCACTGAACCACAGGCGCCTCCCTCACTCCCAGTTCTAAGATCAGCCCCAACCCTGAACGGGCATATGAAGAATTCTTTCCGTGGAAGATGAGGACTTGGAATTAAGGTGTTACAACCAGCCCCAGTATCTCTTGTCCCAGGTCTGAATCCAGCCTCTGCACATTTCCTAGCTCTCTGGGCCTGGCTTCTTGGCTGCTGATGCCCAGGATGAGATCTGATTGGCTAAGGAAATATTTTATACTGGCATTTCAGTCTCTGTTACCCAGGCTTTCAGCCTGGACATCTAATGCCCCTGCAGTATGATCAAGTCACACAGTTTGGACTTCTGCTATTCCCTAGTTCTCCTTGTTCAGGCTAAGATCTAAACGAACAGATTCAGCCTAAACTGGAACTTCCCACCTGTTCTTCCTTGTCCACACTGAGACCTTAGATCAAATTTATCCCCAACCCCTAAACAGACTTATATGGAAATTTCTAGCAGTATGCCTTATCTGCATAAGCCTTGCTGGTATTTAAAAGGCTTTGATTTTATAGTCTAATTTCTCTGACCTGGCTCTTTATTACCACCAAAGTTCCAAGGATGACATTATAGTCAGTAACAAGAATCCCATATGCTAGGAATTTCCTTAGAAGTGGATGGGCTAAGATTTGCTTCATATAGAAAACTATAGGATTACAGATTTTGATAATCAAGACATATTTTTTCACTCATAAGAAAAGGATGACACAGTTAGAGTCAGTCCAAAGGAATTCAAACAAACACTAAATTGATATTATGCATCTTGAAAATGGTATGTTCAAGGGATCAAATCCAATGATTAGGTTACAGACTTCAGGGTGATCCCAGCTCTGTTCTGTGTTTACAGTGCATCACTTGGGAATGCATTTGGGTGAGGTCCTCAGGCTGTATCTAAAGCACATATAATGGAGCCCCTGTGTGGTCATGGTTGGTAAAGGGCAGGACATTAGCTTTCACCTTACTCCTGGCTTACTCTGACACTTCTTTGCTTTTTTTTTTTTTTTTTTTTGAAACAGAGTTTCATCCTGGTAGAGTGCCATGGCACCATAGCTCATAGCAACCACAAACTCTTGGGCTTTAGCAATCCTCTTGCCTCAGCCTCCTGAGTAGCTGGGACTAGAGATGCCTGCCACAACACCTGGCTAGTTTCTATTTTTAATAGAGATGGGGTCTCACTCTTGCTCAGGCTAGTCTTAAATTCTAGGCCTCAAGCAATTCTCCCTTCTTGGCCTTCCAGATTCCTAAGATTATAGGTGTGAGCCATGTGCCTGCCCATACTCTAACACTTCTCTGAAGCCCCCTTTCCTGTGCTGCTCTTGTGCTCAGGAGAGCTGTCTCCCCTCCTTTTGCTATGATTACCTTGTTCTGATCAAATTTTGAGGACTTAGCCTTTTTGGAATCCTCAGGATTCTCCAACACTTCATAGAAATGAGACTCTTTGAAACATCGCAGCTCTGCATGTGCCTCTAATTGTTCGTTCAGTATAGATGCTTGGTTCTGTACCAGTTTCTTCTGTTCATTCTGCATGCCTTTGTAGAGCAGCTGCAGTTCACATAGGTCTTGTAACTTTGTAAGTAACTCCTGACTCTGTGAGGTGGAGTGGAGGAAGGAGGCAAGGGGTTGTGGTGGTTAGATGGAAAAACCCTGCCTCCTGCCATGCCTCACCCCAGCTGGAACAAGTCCCTAAAGAACCTCTGTGTTGCCATCTGGGGGCAGGGGAAATCTTCCTATGGAGACATGCTATGTCTCTTATATTTGGATATATTTTATAGTTTATGGGTATATTTTCTCTAGATGGACTAAATATCTGAATATAAAATGCTGCACAGATTCCAGAGTATAAAATGTATTTGAAGATTTAAAGCCCTTATTAGAAAACCCCTAACTGGCTCTATATAGCTTTTTGATTTGGGGAGCTGGTGAGAAAATAGAGTGGTTGATTAGGAAAAGGCAAAGTTAAATCCCCACCCTTTTATTTGTTTCCAGTATAGCCACACTGGGAAGCTACTCAGGGCAGCTTTGCCAGTTAGCAGCCACCCCTTAGCTGGGGTTACCTTATGTACGAGACCACATTTGGGCGGGGACATGAGCCTGTGTAGCTCTTCTTGCAGCTGGCCCTGCTCCTCCTGCAACCTCTTCTGATTCTCCAGGAGTTCGTACTGTTCCATTTGCAGCTGCCCAATCTCCTTCTGGCTGGCCTTGTAATTTTCCTGCAGTTCTGTGAGTCTGGACAGCAGTGCATCACACTGTGGGGAGGGGGCAGGGTGTGCCAGGGGTTACTCTGTAAGGCAAACTTTCTGGGTGGCTAGCAGAGCACTTCTGGGCTCTCTTTCCTCTTATGATTCACCAAGGTCTCTCCCTGTTAAAATCACCTTGGACTAATCATCCCAAGCCACACTGCCCAGATATACCAGCCCTAGATGCTGAAAGGGGAAGCCCAGCAGGCTGCTCTGGACTATCGTTGGCCAGTCAACTATTGTTGGCTCTAAATTCCTACTCCCATTCCCTTCCAGGACAGTTTGAGAGGGATGCCTCTCCCTTCACATTGCCCACCTTCCTTTTCTCTGGTCCTTGCCTTTGGCCTGCTGGGAACTCTGGCTCCTATTACTCATCAGTTGTTTTCAGACCTAATCATGCTCCTTACCAATAACAACAAATTTCACCCCAGTTTTTCCCATTTTTGCCCCAATCATCTTAAAATCTTTAGAAAAATATGAGCTATTGTTGAATTGGAGTTGAGAAGACTAAGTTATCCCTTGATTTTAAAAACCAAATCTTCTAATATTAGACAAATCCCAAGCTGTTTTATGACTACAGAAAAAGCTGGCTCTGTATACTAGCTTGCTTCTCCTTTTTCAGAGCTTTTGCCACTAGAAGAAGAGATGATGAGCGAGTCATGGACTCTCAAGACCCCCCCAAATGAGTAGGAGAGTAGGAAGAGAGAAATGTTAGTCTGGGCACTCAAAGGCAAATAGACTGCTGGGATGGCCCAAATAACCTTCCCAATCTCTACCTGCTGAAGGCCTTTCCCTAAAGATATAGCCTACTATTGACTGTGGCAGGAACTACTGAGTATTCCAGAAGACTGGGACCAGCTCCATCATGTTTTGAGACTCCCATGCTTTTTCTCCAGCATGCTTCAACACCTCCCACTTCCTATCAGTACTTAGGAGCTAAAAGTGCTCAATAGGGTAAATGATAACAGCCTGTGTTTTACATACTATGGAAAAAGAAAAGTAACTAAGGCCTTATTTATCACTACCAAGATTTATTACTGAAAGGAAGTGAGATAAGAGTAGTAATCTGTTCAATTTAAAGACAGCACAATTCAAGCTTCAAAGATTTAACTACTCTAAAACCAAAGAATAAATTCTGGAAGGGCTACACCCTTCTACTACTCAATCAGCACTCTCCGTGTAAAATCCTAACCTCTAATAAGACTATTTGCTGTCTGCCACAAAAAACTGGCCCCTCTCTCAAGTTCTAACAATAATAGTTGTGTATATAGGTCTATGTATGTATTCTTCTCCATCAATGGCTAGATAACAGTATATTCTAATATCGATGTATAAATGCCTACACATATGGAATCATGCGTATAACCTTCCAATGTTCAGAGTGGGATCCAGACATATTACTCCTACTGCTGTGGCTCTGGCTCTAACTCAAGGTCAGGGTGAATTCTTTTAAAGTTAGCATCAGGTGGCTTGCCGCTACTTCCTCCCTAGGAAGCCCATCAAACCCCTTGGTTATGTGACTTTATCTTTTGCCTCTGTACCTCCTCTCTCTGGAGGCAGGTGCCCAGGAGCCCTCACCTCTATGATTTGCAATTACCTTATTAGCACATTGTCCCTTGTCCTCCAGAAAGGACTGGCAGGTCTTGAGCTGTTTTAGCTCCATCTGGTTTAGCTGGTAGTCTTGCTCAAGCTGGTCATACATGTGCTTCTGCCGCTCCAGCTCGTCCTTGCTGTTCCTATACAGCTGCTTTGTCTCCTGAAGCTGGGCATGCATCGCTGAATTCTGGGCAGGGGAGGTGGGCCTGGCTGTTACTCCAGGCACCCCTGCTGTTTCACTCTCTCCTCTCAGGCAGGGACTGTGGGGATCCATCTTCTCCTGTCTTTCCCAGCCCCCAATTTCATCCCAGACAGATTTTCCCAAGACGAACCCATCCCCCACAGGTTCAGAACACAGATCTTCTGGGGCTTCCATTTTGGGAAGGTGGGAGTAGAGGAAAGGCTTTTTTTATGAGACAGAGTGTCACTTTGTCACTCTTGGTAGAGTGCCGTGGCATCACAGCTCACAGCAACCACCAACTCTTGGGCTTAAGGGATTCTCTTGCCTCAGCCTCCCAAGTAGCCAGGACTGTAGGTGTCTGCCACAACGCCCAGCCATTTCTTTGCTGTGGTTGTCATTGTTGTTTAGCAGGACTGGGCTGGGTTTAAACCGGCCAGCCCCAACCGCTGAGCTATGTGCACCAAGCCAGGAAAGGCTTTTTTATGGGCCACTTTTCTTTTTTAAAATAAAAGGAAGCTGAAAGTGTCATGTCCCTGAGACCTTTCTTCTAAGCACCCCTTTGGCCCCTCACCACCAGCCCCTTCGCAGATCTCCTGCCAGTTCCCTCCCTCCTCTGTTGTGTGCTCTGCCCTACAGGAGATTCTGCCTGGCTATCTTCTCCCTTGCCTAGGGCTTCTTTTACCTTCTCTTTGGTCTCTTGGAAGGAGACCAACATGTTCCTAAGGCAATGCAGCTCTGTCTCATGGCACTGCAGCTTGTCCTGCAGCTGCCGCTGCACCTCCAGCAGTTTTTCCTTCTCGCACATGGTGTCCTGGTACTGGAGCTGCATCCTTTGCAGCCGGCACCGTAACTCCTATAGGGGAGAGGCTTTGGGCAGTGCCTCTGGCTCCTTAACCCCCTTGCTCTTCTGCCTGCGTCACTCTCAGACACTGACAGTCCAAGAATTTACTTCTCCCTGCCTTCTTTTTACAGGTTGTCTATTCATCTTACACAGGAGAGGAGCTGGAGCTCTTAATCTGTGGTGCTGCCTAGGTGGTAGCTGGAGTTAGCTTTAACTCGATACTATTATCACTACTATTATTCACCTTCCCCAAACCTCAGACAGATGCTCTTAGTGCCTAAGTTGTCCCCTCACCTCTGGTTGCTGTTACCTTCTCACTTTGGCTCTCTATGACTTTGAGCTGTCGGAGCTCAGACTGAAGTTGTAGCTGCACCTTCAAGAGCTCATTCTGCTCATCCTGGCTAGCATCGTATTTTTTCTGCAGGTTACACAGTTTGGTCTTCAGTTCCTCGTTCTGTGGTGGGGAGGATGTGAGTAGAATAGTTACTTTCAAGAAACAGCACATCCCTCTACAGATCAGCTTGGCTCCTTTTCAGATGCAGACATCTTGAGGATTATGGCCTATGGTTTGCTTTCTTCTGTGAGGCATACACTCAGTAACAGCTACTGTTTCTAGAAGGCAACGCTATATGACTTCTAAATTGGTTTCCAGTAGGGTGTGCCCCTGGTTGCAGGGCAGGAGTCACCAGAGCATAGCCTTTTTCTCATCCCCTCAGAGCAGTGCCTCCCAGGGCCCTTCTGCTCCCTCCCATGGGGTGCATCCCCCAGCAGGCTTTACCTGGGCAGCACTGTGGGAGGTCTGAAACCGAAGCACTTCGTTCTGGGCGCACTTGAGCTCCCTCTGCAGCCGCCTCTGCTCCTCCTCGCTGGTCTGGCGATGAAGCTGTAGCTCTTGCAACTCACAACACAGTTTCTTACACTGCATGGGAAATAGAACAGGAAGGCTGACTTATTACAGGTACCACACGTACTCCAAGACCAGGCTTGGGGAAAGTCTGGCATTCCATTGTGTAAAATATATTATATCAGGCAAACAAGCAACCCCCCAAAGTACTATCTCCTGCCACAGTGCTTATCTGCTAGCCCTGTGCCTAAGGAGCTATCCCCACCACAGGCCAGGAGAAGGTGAGAGAGAGACGATGAAGGTGCCTGCTTCCCTACCCTTCTGTACCCTACCTTGCTCTGCATGTCACGCATCTGCTCCTCAGCTCCCAGAAGCTGCTGTCGCAACAAATACATTTCAGGATCTGGCTCTAGGAAATCCATTTCTGAAGTCTGAGACTCTGTTGACATCATACTCCTTAGTGTTTGGGACTCCAGCCACTTCTCTGTTGCTCTTCGTGTCCTGTAACACAGAACCCCAGGGCAATGCTGAGATGGAGCTCTTCCTGGTATCAGCAAACAAGTGTGCTGTGTCCTGATGTGTTCAATTTAAGTCAAAGATAGTTGGCTCAGCGCCTGTGGCTCAATCGGCTAAGGCGCCAGCCACATACACCTAAGGTGGCGGGTTCGAATCCCCAGCCTGGGCCCGCCAAACAACAATGATGGCTGCAACCAAAAAATGGCCGGGCGTTATGGCGGGTGCCTGTGGTCCCAGCTACTTGGGAGGCGGAGGCAGGAGACTCGCTTGAGCCCAGGAGTTGGAGGTTGCTGTGAGCTGTGATGCCATGGCACTCTACCCAGGGGGATAGCTTGAGGCTCCGTCTCAAAAAAAAAAAAAAAAGTAAAGGGCCTGCTAGTATGAGTCACTGTACTGCAGCCAGCACTGTAACTCTTACAGAGTAGGGGGCTTTGGGCAATAAACACATTTACAAGATCACAGAAAAAGTTTCTAGGCTGGATGCAGCAGCTCACACCTATAATCCCAGCACTCTGGGAGGAGGAGGCAGGACTGCTGGAGCTTAGGAGTTTGAGACCAGTCTGAGTAAGAGCGAGACTTCATCTCTACTAGAAATAGAAAAATTAGCCAGCGATTGTGGAGACACCTGTAGTCCCAGCTTCTTGGGAGGCTGAGGCAGGAGAATTGCTTGAACCCAGGAGTATGAGGTTGCTGTGAGCTAGGGTAACACCATGACACTCTAGCCTAGGCAACAGAGTAAGACTCTGTCTCAAAAAAAGAAAGAAAGAAAGAAAGAGTCTCTAGCATTTCAATCTGCAAAGGCATGTTTGGCTCTGAGATACCACAAGAGTGCCAGTCCACTTGGTTTTGAAGCTAGGATTGGCATCAAGCCAGTTTTAATCTGGAAGCACTATGCAACTAAATTGGATCAAATCCGTGCAGACAACAAAGGAAGCCACTCTGATCTACTCTAGCACAAAGCAAACCAGATTCCAATCTCTAGAATGGAAGAAAATTAAATTTTAGAACTCATTTACTCTACTTCTGAGACAACTGGGTCAGATCCCCATGTCTGCTTCTGGGTAGTATCTGTACCCTTTGGATACCATGAAAAGGACTAGGTTTCTGGACTCTTTATCCTGGCTTCTGCCTTGAGGGGAAAGCCCAAGGCAAGGCAGAGTCCTGCAGAGTCCCATCAACCTTCTGGCTGTACCTCTCACTCTCCAGATCTGCAAGCTGCCCTGTGAGGCTACTGTTGCTCTCCTGTAGGACCCGGTACTCCTCATTCAGGAATTGGTAGCGTTCTCGCAGTTGCTGTAATTCTTCTGCAAAAGACAAGCAGAGAGAGATAAGATCCTCAGAAGGAAAGCACTGATGACAAGCCCCCAGTTTTAGTCCAGAAATGTGAGAGAAGGCTGAAGAGTTTCTCTTTTTCTAAAGACATAAAAGAGATAAGTGTACCACATGCAGAGGCTTAGAAGACAGAGGCCAGAAAATCCCATTCTCATCTTCCCTGATGTGCTCTGTGTGCTTGCTTTCAAAGCCTCAACCAAAGCAGGGGTCATGAACTTTTGAAAGTTTAATTAAGTTTTTGGCTTATTATATTTAAAGTTTCCATTTAGCTATTTATGATTACCATCCTACTATGTTTTTAGTACAAAAAGCTGAGGGATGTGAACTGTTTGATGTCACACTGCCAATTCTTGCCTTTTTGGGACAACCCAAGCATTTTGCATTTCCTTTTACTTCCTTTATCACCACATTGAATACCCCGGCCTAGATGTGGTCTAGAATCATAGTAGTCTTTTCTTCACTGATAGAAAAATCTAGATCCACATATCATCCTCAAGCATTAGAAGAGATCTTCTGGCTGAAATGCCCCAGCAAACGTCTCTAAGAACCAGTCACCAATACTTTTCAATGCTCTGATCATACAAACACCCATCTCTCTTTTGTTTCTTCATGGTTAAGAATTATATCTCTTAGAACACTAATTCTACTGATACTTGAGGAATATTAACTCGCTCTAATTATATAACATAAGACCTATCTTACCTGCTAGAAGATTCAACACCTTGGAAGTGACTTCTAATGTTTCCTCTGAATTTTAATCAGAACTCCTTAGAATACTGTAGATTCCCATAGAAGGAAGGAAGGAAACTAATCTTTAATGAAAACTAACCATGCGCTAAGCATTAGACTTGACAGTTTCAGCCTCAGATTTGGTTAGTGTGCAAGCATGTCTCATATTTCATTTAATTCCCCAAAACGGCCCTGTAATGTTTTTTTTTCTTTAAATAAACCTTTAATTTTAGAATAGTTTTAGATTTAGCAAAAAAGTTATAAAGATAGTACGGAGTTCCCCAGGGGAGTTCTCACCCAGTTTCCCCAAGTTAACATCTTATATTACAATGGTACACTTGTCACGATTAAGAAATCAACACTGGGGCTTAGTGCCTGTAGCTCAGTGGCTAGGGCACCAGTCATGTACACTGGAGCTGGTGGGTTCGAACCTGGCCAGGGCTTGCCAAATAACAATGACAACAACAACAACAACAAAAATAGCCTGGTGTTGTGGTGGACGTCTGTAGTCCCAGCTACTCGGAAGGCTGAGGCAATGAGAATTGCCTAAGCCCAGGAGTTGGAGGTTGCTGTGAGCTATGATGACATGGCACTCTACTGAGGGCAATATAATAAGACTCTGTCTCAAAAAAAAAAAAAAACACAAACAAAAAAAGAAATCAACATTGGTACATTACTATTAACTAAACTCCATAGTGTATTTGGATTTCTCTACATTTTCCCTAAGGTCGTTTTCCTATTCCTGTATTGATCCATCTATAAAATTTTATGAACCGATTTTGAGTCAATACTCCAGATACAGAAAATGAGGCTCAGACAGAGACAATAACCAGATTGAGTTTATCCTGTTAATTGAAAAGCGGAGATTCTAGGGTGGTGCCTGTGGCTCAGTGGGTAGGGCGCCAGCCTCATATACTAAGGGTGGTGGGTTTGAACCCGGCCCCAGCCAAAATGCAACAAAAAATAGCCGGGCATTGTGGTGGGTGCCTGTAGTCATAGCTACTTGGGAGGCAAAGGCAAGAGAATTGCCTAAGCCCAGGAGTTGGAGGTTGCTGTGAACTGGGATGCCAGGGCACTCTACCGAGGGCAATAAAGTGAGACTGTCTCAAAAAAAAAAAAAAAAAAAAAAAGGAAAGCTGAGATTCTGAACTTAGGTCTGTTTGCTCCAGGCCAAGCCTTCCAACTGTGCTAGCCTCCTACTTCTAGCACCACTAGTTCAAAGGCTCTTCTGAGAGGCTTGACACAGCTAGCAAAACCTGCATTTGAGTTCTTGCTGATTGCCTCTGCTTGACCTAGCCAAATATAGGGCCTCCATTATACTCAGATCATAAATCTGGCCTCAGAATAAAGGCAAATTCTCTGATGTCATGAATCCTAGCAACTAACTGGGAGACTCTCTGTCTGAAAGCAGGGCTCTAAGCTTTTGAGTACCTAATGTATTACTAGGAATAACATTTCTTCTCCAGCTGACTTGTGCTCTAATTTGTTGCTCCCTAAAGCCTCTACTTTGGGGAGGGCTAAAGGAGCCTAAGAATTAGCAATTTGGGACCTGGGAAGCATGATCAGAGGCTTCCCACAAAGTGGTCCAGGCAAAATGCTGTGATACCAGAGAAACAGGAAGAATTTCCCAAGGTAACAGGTCTTTCTATACCCATCCCAGAACTGGAAACTCTCCCAGGAAGGGCTTTACCATAGTCACATCAACAAAGATCCAGTGGCTTTCTGAAAAAGAACTCTGAGGGTACATCTCTATGGTACTATTTCTCACGCTACCATGGACTGGTTATATAACATCTGGGAAAGTTTTTCTCCCTAACAGTCTTGAATTCAACCTAGAAGTTTTCCCTTGAGGTTCCTAATTCATAGTCTAATACTACCTTTTACCATTTTCCTATATATTATCTCCTCTCCTCTACTTGACTTAGTACTGCTAGATAAGGAAGGCTTGCTCTCATACCTTGCAACCCAGAGAAATCTGAGAGACTTAAACTCTCCCCAGATGGTTCAGAGATCTTCAGTTCCATTTCTGCACGGAGGGAGGCGATCTCCACCTCATAACCTCCCCGAATGCGATCCATGTCCTCTAGTTCCTTCTGCATCCGGAAGAGATCCTCCTGCAGGGATGCTACATCACTGTCATGTTCAGCTGCGGAATACTCTGCCGCTTGTCGCAGACTCTGGATCTCATTGTGGGCCAAATGCAATTCCCGTTCTATTTCCTTAAGTTCCCTTTCTTTCTCACGCTCTAACAGGGAAATCTCCTCCCGTAGAGACCGCAGTTCACCTGCAAAGCCCAAAGGATGAGATGGTCAAGAGAAGTGAAATAATCTACTATGTTCTGGATATACCAAGTTAAAGGTAGGCTTATTGTCTGGAAATTCCTGACAACTTAGTCTCTATCCCATTAGAAAGTAAAGCATCATGTAATATGAAATAAATGAAGCACCTAAGAAGGGAACAAAGAGTGACTCCATGTACTAAGTTCCAGTAGAAAAGAAGATTTTGAGGCCTGGCACCAAAAACAACAATTTAGTCTATTATAAACAAGAAGTATTAAATACTTCTAAGGAATCGCTTGACATTTAAAGACCAAGCCTGGTTTACAATATTGATTTTTTATTTTTTTGAGACAGAGTCTGGCTTTGTCACCCTCCATAGAGTGCCATAGCATTATAGCTCACAGAAACCTCAAACTCTTGTGATCCTCTTGCCTCAGCCTCCCAAGTAGCTGGGACTACAGGCGCCTGCCACAATGCCTGGCTACAGTATTGATGTCTTGAGTCTTTCTCAAAATTCCATAACTAAAAAGATTTATAGACTATTTTTACCTATTCAGTTGGGGAGCTCAATGACATATGAAATCCCATGGTAAGTATGGGACCCCAAACAATGTGCATTTAGAGTTCACAGCTGAAAGGCAAAGGTAAGTTCACTACATGATAACCAAACATGGGAATATAACCTAAATGATGATTGATGTGGTATTGATTACACCAACAATTGTTCAAAAGAATATCATGTAGCCATTTAAAAGAAAGTAGGATATCTATAGTGAAGACATAAAATAGTTTCCATATTAACTAGAAGAAAAAATAAGCTGTAAACTATATGGTGTTAACTTTTGCAAAATGTATTTTTATGTACAGTATATAACGCACAAGTGAACAAAGACAAAAAGGCCTAGAAAGAGCTATGCACCAAACCACAAAGAAGTGTTGCTTCTGAGGAGTGGTGTAGCATGTGATGAGGTCTTTTCATTTCCATGGCATATATATGGTGCTGTCCTATTTCAATCTTCAAAATAAGCTTATATTTTATAACATACTGTATATACGGTTTCTAGACACAGGTACCCATCTGAGATCAGAACCTAAAGTGGAAAGAGAATAAAAAGACACTGATTTTGTATTCAGGAGTAAAAAATCCTGAATAGTGAATTCAGGATTGGGGGGTCGAGATTAGGCAATTAATGATGGGGCTGGGAGAGTCAGAATATTCCCATAAACCTTTTGCAAGGCATATTCTCCCATCCCCTGCTCACTCACCATTCAGATACCAACGTTTCCTAGCCTCTCCCCTACCTCTTCAAAAAACTAAGAGAGGGCCTCTATTAAATGTTCTCACAGTGCTTGTACTTTGCAGTACAAGTGTGTATCTGTGGTTATAAGCTTTACAAAGGCAAGAGCATGTCTGGGGTTTTTTTTTGCAGTTTGGGCCGGGGCCAGGCTTGAACCTGCCACCCTACTCCTTGAGCCACAAGTGCCGCCCTGGCATGTCTGTTTTGATCACCATTACAGCTCTAGGATCTAGTATTGTGCCTGCATAAGGCAGCTCAATGAATATTTTCTGTATTCATGCATAAATGAGGCAGGGGTTCATCCATTCAACAAACTTTTACTGAGTATCTCCTCTATGTACAGAATTATGTTTGGTATTCATGTCTGCAATTCTAGCACTCTGGGAAGCTGAGGCAGGTGGATCACCTGAGCTCAGGAGTTTGAGGCCAGCCTGAGCAAGAATGAAACCCCAGTCTTTAAAAAAATAGCAAGATGTGGGCAGCGCCTGTGGCTCAGTGGATAGGGCACAAGCCCTATATACTAAGGGTGGTGTGTTCAAACCTGGCCCCGGCCAAACTACAACAACAAAAAATAGCCGGGTTTTGTGGTGGGTGCCTGTAGTCCCAGCTACATGGGAGGCTGAGGCAGGAGAATCACCTAAGCCTGGGAGTTGGAAGTTGCGGTGAACTGTGATACCACGGTACTCTACCTAGGGCAACAAAGTGAGACTCTGTCTCCAATCAATCAATCAATAAATAAATATTAGAAGAGACCCAAGTACCCTTCAACACAAGAATGGATTAATAAAGTGTGGTAGGTGTACACCATGGAATACTATCCAGCCATAAAAAAGATGAAGATTTTGCATTCTTTGTAACAACCTGGATGGCTTGGAGAATATTTTCCTAAGTGTCATAAAATTGGAAAAAAGAAGCATCACATGTACTCAATACCAATTTGAAACTAGGAGATTAGCAACCACAGACCCACACAAGAGAAAATCTCAATTAAATTCAAGAAGGGGAGGGCAGTGTTCCATAGCTTCCCACAATGCATGGGTACGTGGCACACTCCCTGGGCATGGGACACAGCTGCAACTCTGACTTTAACTTTTCATGTGTGAATTATATAATCTAATGGTTTGTACCCTCATATTAATCTGAAACTTAAAAAAATTAAAAGAGAACTAGACATTTGAAGAAAAATCTGGACATGTTTCAGATACAAATGCTGAGTGGTCAGGGCATCTCAATGGAAGGTCCTCTGCTTTGCTCGCCTGAGCTCACACGTGCAGCTCCAGGAACATCTTTTGCCAATCCTTCCTGCTCTGGAATGATCCCAACTGCTCCCTCTCCCTGGTCTAGTCAACTAATACTAACTGATCAACACTGGGTCAAATCTAAGTATCTCTATTTGCATTCTCTGACTTCCAATCTGAAAGGAACAAAGACTTTGGTCTATCCACAATACTGAACGGCCCACTGAGCTCCTCCGCTAGTAGGCTCACTAGAAAAATGGTCAAGGCCCAAGTGTCTGTGACGGGATTTCTGGGGTCCGAAACCTCTGTTTCCCTAATATGCCCTTGACGTTAGGATTCAAATCTCTCTTAGATTCGCCTCTGGGGTCTGGCCCTAATAATAAAGCCCCGTCAGATCCGAAAGGTAAACAAAGGGGCAGAATCGCTAGAGCCGGTGGCTGGGCTCCATTCCGAATGCGGACAGGGCGGGCCAGCCAGTCGGGAGTTGAAAAGGCCTAACTCGGTTCCGAAGGTCAGGCCGTGCCGGTTGACTGTGGGGCTGGGGCCGTCGGGGCGAGGCAGAGCCGGGGAGTCCGGCTGCAGGGCGGAGATGTGATTTTCACTCACTGGTTATAGCTTCCATCTCGCCGGGCCGCCCCCCGCCCCCCCGGATTGCGGTCTCCCTGGGGGCCTTCCCGCCGCCCGGCGCGTCCCGGCCCCGAAGGGGCTGTGGCGGCGGGAACCGCCTCTGAACACCAGCTACCTCCGAGACCGCGCGCGCCCCCTCTTGGCGGAAACGGGCAACTCGCGTGCGCAGGAGGCCTCAGTCCCCTCCCACAGGGCGGTGCGCGGGAGTGACATCGGTCTTGGGGCCCCAGGTGAAGAGGGAAGCCCCAGTTCTCACTTGTATCTTGCTTAGATTTTCTGACTTCCTGCCCCTTTGAAAGGAACACCGTCCTTTCTTCAAGCAAAAGCTATTTTGCCTTTTTCCGCCCTATAGGATTTTTTCCTTCACCGTACAAACGTGATCTAGCATTGCCTATGTAACAAACCCTCCTTTGACTCCATTGCCTTTCCCCTTATTTCCCTGCTTCTTTTCAAAACAACTATTAGACTTACCCGTACTCACCTTTTCTATTTCACCTCCCACTTCCTCTTCAGTCCCACTCCCCTGAGGCACCTATCTGCACTGAAATGCCTGAGCGTTCTCCATCTTGCCAAATCCAACTGCCATCTATCTCACTTGATTTAGCAACTTTTGACATGGTGGATCGTAATCTCCTCAAACCACTGTCTGCTTTTGGCTTCCAGGACATGATGTGCTTCAGGAGTTGCTCCCACTTCAGTCTCTTTTGTTTAGTTCTCCTTCTGGACTGGACCCTTTCTTCTCTTCTAGTATCTCCCACATGACTGCACAGTGATCCCATGGATTCCAAACTCTATGTTAATGATGCCCAAACGTGTATCTCCAGACTTGATTTCTCCCTGGTTCTGGATTCACACGTCCAACCACCTCCTTTACATATTTATTTGGATGTCCATAGCCACTTCAAACTCGACAGGTATAAAACATGTTTTCACTGGCTCCCTAGCCCCCTAAACTTGTTCCTTGCCAACTCTTCATCATCCCAATAAGTGACACCACCATCCACTCATATTCTCAGGGTAAAGTCATCTGTCATGTCTGCTATCTCCCCACCTAATTCATCAGCAGGTCCTGAAGACTTCACCTTCAAAATAAATCCTGAATCATCCCCATTTCTACTGCCCTAATCCAAGTGACCAGCACTTCTTGGCTGGACATATTGTGATAGGATTTCATTCTTTCCCTCATCTGGTTTCCACATAAAGGCTAAAATGATCTTTGAAAAATGTAAAGCAGATTATATCACCCCAGCTCTAGTTAAAGACTCTCCCCATGGCTTTCTACTAGATTTAAAATGAAAGCCAAACCTCTCAGCTGCCTTAGAAGACCTGCTGTATCTGGCCTCTGCCTGCCTGGCCACATTCTCTTACTGGGGTGCTACATGTGCCCTTTGCTCCAGCCACAATGGCCTTTGTTCTGTCCCTCAAACACATGATGCTCATTTTCACCTCCGGGCCTTTATAGTTGTTCCTTCTGCCTGGTGTGCTCTTGAATGTCTGGATCCTTCTCATTATTCAGGTGTTAGCTCTAATGCCATCTTGTAGAAGAGGACTCCTCTAACTACCTTCTCTAAAATAAAGTGCCATTCCATTTCCTCTCTCTATATCAGTTTATTATATTCATAGCATTTATTACCACCTAAACTTACATTGTTTGTTTATTTTCTGCCTCTCCCCATTGGAAGACACTCTTCATTAGAGCAAGGATCTTGTCTGTCTCATTTATAGTTAGTCCTCCAGGTATATAGGCATTCAATAAAGTGATAAACAAAATAATTAGCCCTATTTTGTAGACAATAAAGATATCAAAAAGATAAAGCTGACCTGCCCAAGGTCACAAAGTTTGATCTGAAACCAAGTGGTAGAGTTGGGCCCAAGAATCCAGGTGATCTGAGACCAATGCTGATACTTTTCCCTGTGTAGCACGTTTCCTGTCATCTTCCTCCTCTTTATGGCCCCTTTGCTGTCCATACTTCCTGCATCGACTTTTGCTTACATCTCTGTCCCTTTGTCTTTTCCTTCCCTCTTATATCTCTGTTCCTCTCCAGGCCTGTTTCCCCAGCCTTCCTTTTTTCTCCATTTATATTTTTCTTTTGGCTTGATCTCCATTCTCTCTAGAGAGTCCCTGCTATTTTCTAGGGCAGCTCCCCTAAACCTTCCGGAAGCTCACAGAAGTAACAAAAGCTGCCTCTTTATTTGGTGGCGCAGTGGAATGTGGGACGCCTGACTTGCTGCTTCCCAGAGACAAAGGGACGTGGGTGTTGGAAGGAAGGGATTTGGGGGGCCACAAGCTCAGGTCCTACGGAACGAGAAAAGTGCTCTCATTTGCCTCCCTTAAAAGATGCAGAGGCCAGGCATGGTGGCCTATAATCCTAGCAGTCTGGGAGGCCAAGGTGGGAGGACTGCTTGAGGCCAGGAGTTCAAAACCAACCTGAATAAGAGTGAGACCCTATCTCTACAAAAAAAATTAAAAAAATTGGGCAGTGCCTGTGGCTCAAAGGAGTAGGGCACTGGCCCCATATGCTGGAGGTGGCAGGTTCAAACCCAGCCCTGGCCAAAAATTGCAAAAAAAAAGGAAAATTAACTGAGACTGGTGGGACTGCTCTGTAATCCCAGCTACTTGGGTGGCTGAGGCAGCAGGATCTCTTGACCTCAACAGTTTGAGGCTTCAGTGAGCTATGATGCTGACACCATACTGTAACTGAGGTGACAGAATAAGACTTTGTTGCAAAAAAGAAATAATAAATGCAGAGAGGCCCCTCCGGTCACTTCTCATTGGCTCCCTGCTATTTCCTTGGTATCCTTGGAGGGACAGGAAGAAGGAATTCAGCTTGGAATTTAACACTGATCACCCACCCTTGGGACTAACCAGGAGAATAAAGCAAAAGGGGTACAGTGTGAGGGAGGAGTCTGAAGGAGAGCAAGAGGAAAGAGCCAACCAGAGAGAGGAGATGTGATGGCAGGGCCAGAAGGGGTGGGAGGGCAGAAGAGACAGGTAGAGATACAAGGAAAGGAAACTGGGAAAGAGAAGGGTAGAGGGACAAGGAGAAGAGAGAAGGGTGAGAACAGTGGAGAAAAATTAGGTGAATGTACTAAATTAGGTTATTTTTGTTTGCTACGTTTCAGTCAAATCCTCAGATAAAAGTAGTTGTGTGACAACTTGGGTGGTCACCTCTCTCCAGCCTGAGTCCTGGGAGTTACCTTGGAGCTGCTGGATCTGCTTGGTGAACACCTCTGCCTGCTGTGCACTGGCCAGCCGTTCATCCTCCAAAAGCCCTGTAGGGAATGGGGCTGGCATCAGGCTTGGATCCAAGGGAACGCAGAGCCTTTGGGCCCAGGCTTCTGGCCCCATCCCGGGTACTCACCCTGTAATTCCAGTGAGTCATCCTCATGCTGCCCTGCCAGTTCCCGTGTCTCCTCCAGCTCTGCCACCAGTTGGAGTACCTGAGCCCTCAGCTCCTCTAGCTCTGTCTCCGTGAGGCTCAGGCCCCGGTGCTTGCTGATTGACAGGGAGCCCATGCTGCCACCTTTCTGTACTTGTTCTTCTTCTTCTTCTTCTACCTCTTCCTCCTCCTCTTCCTCTTCCTCCTCATAGAGAGCTGGGAGCAATACCTCTCCTAGGAGAGACCCCCCCCATCCCACCTGGGAGTCAGCATCAATGCCCTTTCCACAGTCATTCCAGTATCGTACCCTCAAATTCGCTAGGCAGAGATGGTATCATAGTGCCATCTGGTGTCCCCAAAGGAGCCCCTGGACAGGACCTGTACTCAGGATGAGTCCTCAGGTGTGAGGGTCATCTTTAGAGGCAAGCCTTTCCCCTCCCAGGCCCTTCCTAGACTGATTTTGAACTTGGTAGCCTCCTGCTACGACCTATAGGCAAGCAGAGCAGCCGGTGCTGGCTCAGCCATGTGTGGGACAAATGGTCAAGAAAGGATGAGGGCACCAGCCACATACATTAGAGCTGGTGGGTCTGAATCCAGCCCGGGCCTGACAAACAACAACAACTACAACCCAAAAATAGCCAGGCATATGTAGTCCCAGCTATTTGGGAGGCTGAGGCAAGAGAATCACTTAAGCCCAAGAGTTTGAGGTTGCTTTGAGCTGTGACTCCATGGCACTCTACCGAGGGCAACAAAGTGAGACT